ATTAGTGGATGATAGGAATGGATTGATTGGTTTGAAAGGTGAAGCTTTAAGGAGGCGCTTGATGGTATGGTTAAGCGGATGAGAGGTGAATACGGCAAGATGGGGTACGGTTCCCTAATCATTATTCCATCAGCCTTGGTTGTTTGGTGGTTAAAGGAGTGGATGTGCACTCTAATAGAGCTAGTGATTGTTTCACCTTCGGATATGTGTTTTCATTCAGTGGTACTGACAAGTTGGGAAAATTTGTCACGCGGAACTTTTAGTGGTTCTTGGGACGCATTTTTCGTTGTGGTAGATCCCACACTACTAGTGGCGGGTATTGATGCATTGGAGGTAATGCTATGGAAGCTGGAATGTTGACAATGAAATGCGATGAATTGGGGTGATGTATGCATCACTTCCAGTTATTGAGCTTAGGTCATCGAAGAGCGAACCATGGAATGTGAGTTGTGAAATAATTGTGATGTTGAGTAGGTAGTACGTTTCCTTCAGCGATTACATCTGTTTTGAATTGAATTGGAAGTATTTTGCTTGGCCCGGCGATAAAATCTCCGATGTAGGGTGATTTTTCCTTCTTCCCCATGACTGTCAAGAAGTATTTCTCATGATAGATCGTTTCTGTCCTTTTGCAGCACTACGAAGGTCTGGCTAATCGGGCTGCACAGAATGGCCATGTGGTGGATATCTTCAGCAGCCATCTTGACCAGACCGGTTTGCATGAGATGCGCTACTTAGTCAATTACACTGGTGGCAGCATGACCATGTGCGACTCCTTTGCATCCAACCTCTTCATCCAGAGCTTCCAAATTTTCCTTCGTAAGGATGCTCAGGGACACTTCAAAATGGGTTTCAATGGGCAATTGGAGGTCAAGGTAAGCCTTCACGTCACATTCCTTTAGCTCTTGCTCAATTTCACTAAAGGAAATGTCCACAATCTCGGGGTCTTTGATCGGTCTCCCCATCTCATAGATTTTAGTAGTTTTACTATCAGTCGTCCATCCACATATCACTGTATTCAAATCTTGCTTTGTTGCCTCTCATTTTTTTGATAGACATCTCGTGAACTCAAGGTGTCTGGTTGCATAGGCAGCTGCTTCTCCGCCAACGTGAAGACTCCCAGCACCGGGGAGAGCGAGGTGGGTATTGGGCACACCTCAATATGGCGTTTGAACGGTCTCACACCTTCTTCCACCTTGGGCATCTTCTTTGAAGTTACACAGCCTCATGGACAAGCAGCAGCAATGGCCAGTAGTGGAGGTCGAGCGTATGTGCAGCTAGTGACGCAGTACCAACACGCATCGGGCCAGCGTCGCATTCGAGTGACCACAGCGTGTCGACAGTTTATTGATGCTACAAGTCAGCACGCCTACTTAGTGGCGGGTTTTGATCAGGAGGCCGCGGCAGTGCTCATTACTCGGATGGCCATGTTCAAGGCTGAGACCGCGGATGGGCGAGACGCGTTGAGGTGTGTTTCCTTGCGGTCATCTAGTGAGCAGTTTATTTTAAAACTACGTCGCCACTTTAAAGGGCTATTAGCGTAACACGTTGGCTTGACGACTAGTTTTCTGAAAATTGGATTGTTTGCATTATAAACTAGTGACCTTCACACTTATTGATGCGTAACGACGCAACTTTGGTTCGGTACCGAAGACTGTGGCGTAATGCTTGGTGTGTTTCTTCTCTCTCTCCCTCTCTCTCTCTCTCTCCTGACTTTGCTTTTGTGTTTAGGTGGCTGGATCGTCAGTTGATCAAGCTGTGCCGTAAATTCGGCGAATACCACAAGGACGATGCCGCCTCCTTCCGCCTGCCTGACGAGTTCTCCTTCTACCCCCAATTTATGTTCCATCTTCGACGCTCCTCTTTCATTCAGGTCTTCAACAACAGTCCCGATGAGACTGCCTATTATCGGTTTGTTGAATCTTTCATTTTTCCGAAATTTCAACGTCCTACTCATTATTGAGTAGTAGGGGTAATTACTTATTTTCCCTCACTTTGTAGCCATGTGCTGAATACGGAAGATTGCTCGAACGCCCTTCTAATGATCCAGCCTTCACTGATCGCCTTTAGGCTGGACGGCACGGACGAGGCGGTGCTGCTGGACTCCACCAGCATCCAGCCAGATACCGTCCTTCTTATGGATTCTTTCTTCCACATCCTCATCTACGTAGGAGAAAATATTGCAAAGTGGCGAAAGGCTGGCTATCTCGTCCGTCTGCTCTCTTCCCTATGCTTCTACGCTCTCTTTTTAATCAGTTTTGGACTAGACTTGCGCATAGCTATGCGTGAAATTCTGAATGGATATAAGGTTTTGTACTCGAAAACTCGCCATTCGGCCAACGCTCTGTTGGTGTGCATATTGAGTTAATGCCTGCGAATTGAAAGGCGAGAAATGTGGTTCATTTCCCCAAAGTTTGCCAGAGGTATTCCCAATTTTGAAAACCTCTGGCAGATGAATTTATAGGGGTAGTTTCAATTTGTCATGGAGTTTTTTTCGATTCTCTAACATATTTTTTAATTGGCAAAGCCATTGCGTGTCACCTGTTAGTCTGGACAATCCTA